ACATAGAATTGTAATTTTAAACAAACTAATGAGGGAGCTAAACTTTTTGTTAAAAATATTGAAGGATATTGAAGTATGAAAGTATATTGATTTATATTGAAGTATATATTTTTTCAAAAGAACTATTATTTTTCATTATACATTGATTTTTGTGTAGCATTTGGTTTATAGATAAATAACTGTGTATTTTTTATACAAAGTTCTTTCTAAAATTAATAAAAAACTAAACAAAAACGGGCAGATGCGGCGGGGAGATATGAGATTAATTAAAACAGTATTGATTGAGATTTGATAATTCCGCCTTTTTTTTTTTCTTTTTTTTTTAAACTTGAATTAACTTTTTTGATTTTTTCTGGAAGTTTTAGTTGTTAAATGACACAGTTAAATATCTTAAACTTTAAGATGTAACCTTGCCTTTAACTAAACTCGACAAGGCCAACCTATTGTTATAGCCAACGTGCACCGGTCTATACAAAATGAACCAAATTGTTAAAACAAAATAAAAATACACTAACTAATTTATTATTATTACTTTTTCTTATGCTGATTATATAACATTATAAGTATAAAAAATTAATAACATCAAAAACAAATACCTAAATACCTAAAAATACCTAAAAAACTCTTATTCTTCTAGTTTTTTTCCTCGAACATCAGTTCTTTGGAATTCGCTTCCTTCATCTTGCTTTCCTGATTCATATAATTTGCAATCTTTTAAGTCATCAGTCAATCGTTATCTTGCTCTACAGATTTAGTCTTTTCTCTTCCAGTAACTTCCAACTCTTATAGTGGTTGCTTGCAGCCTTGTTGGAAGTGAAAATGTTAAAAAAAAAAAAAAAAAAAAAAAAAAAAAAAAATACCTAAAAATCGAAGAATGAAAAATAGCAAGTCTTCGACTTGCTATTTTTCATTCTTCGATTTTTTTATATTTTACATTCTTATACTTTATTTAGGAAACTTGTATAAAGAACATTGTAAAATGTTTATAAATTAATAATAAAAACAAAAAAATAAAGATTAATTTCATGTTTTAGAAAATTAAAGTAAAACAATTTTTAATTGTGTTAATGACAAACTAAAATATCATAAAAAGTTAAAAAAAAAAAAGGAAGGGTAATCAGGTGTTAAGTCATAGAAACTTTTTTATTTAATTTTTAATTTTTATTTAAATTTTATTTTACTTTTATTAATTTCATATTATTATTTTTATAAAGCCCACTTTTAAAAATTTAACTAACTTTTTTAGTTATTACTACAAAAATAGTAAGTAACCGGTTTATTTACAAAATAGTAATAATAAAAAATCAAACTATTTATATACTTGATGGAGTGGCAAACAAACGAAAAATTTTCCTAATTTTTCTTTTAAGTAGATAAAATTAAAATGAGCTTTTATTTTTAATTAATCAGGTTACATAATGTAGTGACCAATCAATCAGTTTACATAATTTGAAGACCAATTTGATGATTAGTTCATGCAGAAAGCAATTTTGAACAATTAAAATCAAAAATTCATTTTAAAATAGAATAGATTTAAACATGTAGAAGAGTATAATCAACACCAAGAGCAACTCTGTAGTAACTTTTAACGGTAGGAGAATTTAATTTAGCGTTAACTTTCACATGCTGCTTTAAAGCAGGATAAAAAATTATTCGATTTTTGTTACGTACTATATAGACATTAATAGGGTAGGGTGGGGTAATATGAGGCTATTTTAACTTTGAGCAAAAAATAGCAAAAAAAAAATTGTTCTTTAAATTATGATTAGTAGTAGTAGTGGTAGAATAATGCAGCAACAGATTGCAATAATAATGCTGCAACAGATTGCAATAATAATGCTGCAACAGATTGCAATAATAATGTTGCAACAGATTGCAATAATAATGCTGCAACAGATTGCAATAATAATGCTGCTACAGATTGCAATAATAATGTTGCAACAGATTGCAATAATAATGCTGCAACAGATTGCAATAATAATGCTGTAACAGATTGCAATAATAATGTTGCAACAGATTGCAATAATAATGCTGCAACAGATTGCAATAATAATGCTGCAACAGATTGCAATAATAATGCTGCAACAGATTGCAATAATAATGCTGCAACAGATTGCAATAACAATGCTGCAACAGATTGCAATAATAATGCTGCAACAGATTTCCCTGTATAACTCACAGGTTCTGGTAGCCTTATCTACTTAATTCTCTAATTTTATTCATATCAATATATAAAAATTTACATAGCATAAGTTTGAAGTATAAGTTTGAACTTTATTGTTTTGCCTTTTTTTTTCAAGTTAATCTTGATTCTTATAGGAATTATTTGAAATTTGGCTGTGTATAAAAATTTTAAGTAGTTACGGAGTCATGTGCTGAAAATACGACACAACATTTCTAATACACGGTTGGCTTTATTGGTTGCATAAGTTGAATTGTTATGCCATTTCAAGTTTGGCGTAATCATGATGCTATAATCACGTTCGGCTAAAGTCGATGCTAGTTCGACACTATTATTGTTATTAGCTGGCATTGAGTAGGCATAAAAATAGTTTTTTTTACCTTTATGCATAATTTTACATTTAACAAGATTAAGTTTCATTTTTCAGGTTTTACACCATTCGGCTATATTGTAGTAATCAGTTTAAAGTTTTTGTTAAGTTAATGGATGGTCTTAATGGGCTAGCAGTTTCATCAGCATACATTTTACATGGATGATTAACGATATTGGATATATCGTTCACAAAAATGATGAAAAGTATTGGACCTAAGACGGATCCGTGAGGGACGCCACTAAACACCACTAACTACAAGGATACATAATTGCCCATCACGATTCTTTGTAACCGCTGGTGTAAAAACGATTTTATCCAATTCAGGAGATTTCCAGTAAAACCATAAGCCTCGAGTTTGAAAATTAGTTTCTTGTGGGGAACCATATAGAACGTTTTATTGAAATCTATAAAAGCTGCGTCCACAGATACCCTGTCAGATAATGCTTTTGACATCACGTCAATCGACTTCAAAAAATTATTCACACACGCTTTTTTATAGACAAAACCATGTTGATTTTTTGAAATAAGGCCATGTTTGACCAACTGATTGACCATAGTGTAACGTAATATTTTCTCCATCACTTTACATACAATTAATGTTAAGGATATAGGCGGGTAAATGCCTGGGTCGAGTCTAATACCTTTAAACAGTGGTGTTACATTAGCCTTTTGAGATTTGATTAGACATCATTTTTAGTAAACTGCATCGAAAAAAATTTATACATAATTTTTAAAGATGTCTAAGGAACATTAATTGAAGAAATGAGTGATAAAACGGTGTAACTCTACTTTTCATCGATTTTCAGGTTTAGATGGATTATTAGGATATAAAAGAAGTTCTATCAGTTAATATGACATAGATTAAAGCACATCTTGTGTCATTAAACACACGATTCGGTAGAAAAATACATATTCCCTACGTATAAAGTTATTCAGTTTTTACTTTCTCCTGGACAATTTGCGAAAATACAGTTACATTGATTTTGCACTTCAATCTGATTTTGCATCTTCAATTTGAGTTGTATTCTATAGACCCACACGTTACCTCGTTTAGTGGGGTAATATGGGTCTAAAGTTACATTTTTATCTTTCTTTCAATGAAATATACCAACTTAGAAAAAAATACGACTAAAGTCATTAAGTATTATATTAAAACTTACAATGAAATATGACGTCATTGAGTGTGTATTATATTTAAATAATTTGATCAAAAGTTTAAACACAATAGTACTTTGTTTTAAATGTTTTAAACACAATAGTACTTTGTTTTAAATGTTTTAAACGCAAAAAAAACTTTTATCGTTCAAAGCTCTAAATTAGAAACGCAAAATGAATATTTTTTTCCTATATCTGTTAGCTAATTTCTAAGAAATGCAGAATATTCTTGTGGTTCAATTTTTAATATTTATTTTTATTTAATTATTTATTTAATGATATTTTATATTTTAATGTATAGAATAAATCATATTATAATTCTTCAAATTGAATATATAATATTCAAATTTAAAAATCGAAGTACTTAGAATAATCAAATCATGATGTAATTGCGTTTAAAGAAGAATTTAATGCAAAGGCTTAATTGAAAATTATCCAAAATATTTTGTATTATATATTAGAGACAGTGGCGGATTGAGGTTTAGTGTCGCGGGGGCTGGGGCCAAGTCAATAAATAGAGGCGACCGGGGTTGCCTTCAGTAATTTAATCTTATATATATATATATATTAATTGTTTTAGGGGGCGCCGTTAGACCGTTCTAGGGGGCGTGGGGGGCAGCTTGACCCCCCCCCCCCTACGCCCTATACTAAATCCGCCACTGATTAGAGATTCGTTATACTACAAAAACGACGTTTGTATAATAAAAATTCTGCATATTGAATTTTTATTATATATGAATATATAATAAATAATAATAAACAAATAATTAATAATAAACGAATATATAACATCCTTTAAAACTGTTGCGCATCGTTATCTACTAGTTTAATTGAAAACAGATCATTACAATTTTAATGATCATCTAAAGAAATCCATAGCAACATGACTCTAGAAACATAGTTAGACTTCAAATTTATACTAATTTTTATTTTGAAGGAATTTATTATTATATAAGCATTAGATTCTCACCTCACAAAACACATTGACATACAGACCCACATTACCCTACCCAAAAATGTTGCTTATTTTAAAAATGTCATTCTTAAAACTAATTAAACCTAATTATCTGGTGATTTTTCTTCCAGATAAAACATTTTTTATAAGTCAGATCCTGTTTATAATACCTTTTTCAGAAATTTATATTTTTGATAAAAATCTCTTTAAATGTATGCGCCATTTTGAATAATAATGAAGAAATCGTCTAGCAAGCTTTCGCGCAATTAAATAATTTTGAATATAATAATTTTACGCTTGGAATAGTTTTACGAATAAAGAAGTTAACAATTCTATTAAAAAAGCTACGATTGTGTTCTTAGTATTGGTAACTCTTATCAAGAGCGGAAAACGACAACGGACTGTTTATTTACAAGTATTAGAATTAAATGGTCAGTTGGCATTAAATGGCAAACTTGATTACATTTATAGATATAACTGCAAAAAAAATTTAAAAAGAATTATAACAAGACTCAACTATGTACTGATTAACACAAATAAACAAAAAGAACAAAAAATACTGAAAATTCTTATTGTAAACAGAAAATTTATTCCCCTAAGCAATTATCAAAAACGCATAAATTTCAACAGCATTCTTGAAAACTCGATGAGTTTAATGCACATTAGTTAATAAAAACAGGAAATAAAAAAACTTTAATTTTACTGTTGCAAAAAAAAAAAAAGTGACAGTACGTCAATTGCGGATAAAAAGTATAGATTTATGGTTTCTAATACAATATTTTTGTATGCTAACTAACCAAATATCTCTAAAGCGCGCTTGAATTGACATAGAGTTTGATATAAAAACCTTTTGTATTCTTTAGTTCTTAATAGTATTATTGTTGATCGAAGAAGTTGAAGAAAATTCATTTAGAGGGATTTGTGGGAGAGATTTTTTACCAAGAATTAAATCGGCTGCTTTTTCTGCCATCATAATTACTGGTGCATTTAGATTACCACTGATAATTGATGGCATAATAGATGCATCGACAATACGCAAGTTTTCGATTCCTTTCACACGAGTTTCGTTATCTACTACAGCCATTTGATCTTTATCTTGTCCCATTTTACAAGTGCATGATGGGTGATAAGCAGATTCTCCATGTGCTCTAATGAAGTTATCAATGTCTAAATCTGTTTTTACGTTGACGCCTATTTAAATAAACAATAAATCAATAAAACTAGCTCATAAATATCTCAATAATAAAAAATATTAAATAAAAACCTGGTAACAACTCGTCTCCTCTGAATGGCAAAAAGGCATCTTGTGCCATAATTTCACGTGATAATTTAACACATTCCCTCATATCAATAATATCCTCATTGGTAGAAAGGTAGTTTGGATTAATAAGAGGATGATCATAAGGATGACGAGATTTAAGAGCAATATATCCACGACTTGTTGCTCGCATTGTTCCAGCATGAACCTGAAGAAAACATCAAGTTTCCTAATTTTTATTTTAATAAATTCTTGATTTTAAAATGAATTAAAATACTAACTTATTGAAAACAATTTACAAATTTTATATCTATGGACATTACACTATAAAAAATGCCATTTTTATATTATTTAACAATACGTATATACGTAAGTAATATAGATATTACTTGATATGCATGTCCGTCCGGATACTGTCTTCCATGGTCTTTAACAGCAAAAGGCAAAAAATGCAACTGTACATCAGGATGAGGTACTTCTTTGCGCGTTCGAATAAACCCACCTGCCTCCATACTACTTGTGCTTCCCTCTCCTTTTTTTGCAAAAAGCCACTTTGCACCAACAAGTGGCATATTCCATAAACGTGTCTGCTTGTATAAAGTCACAGGCTGAATGCAGCGCTAAAAAATAGGTGGGAGAACTACTTTTGTTTAAAAAACAATCACATACTTTCAATTTTTACTCACGGATAGTTCAAAACATTTTACTTTCGATACTTTCCGACTTATATATTTAATACTGCAACTTATATATTTAATAATTTAAAACTCTTCATTCATTCTTTATTTTACAATAATACTATTAAACTTGATTAAAATTTTTTTCTACAGTCAAACAAAATATTTTTTACAGCCATAAAATCCATTTTTACAGCTAAAAATTAAATACTCTAATGATATTTTGTCAAACTTGGTGTTTAATGCATAATATTATACATATTATGTATTAAAATACTAGAAAAAGAAATTAATAATTCAAAAAACTTTAAACAAAAAAAAAAGGAAAAAAAAAAGAAGCAGCATTTAGTTTTAATTAAATAAGATGTATATATTATTAAAACTTTAAACATATAATAACATATGCACAAAAATAAATGAGAATGTATTTTCTATTGATCAATAACTTACATTTTGAATATATACTTCAAGATGATCTTGCAAATTCTTACCAACTCCTGGCAAATGAGCAACTACAGGGATGCCATGCTTAGCAAGTTCTTTAGCATCTCCAACACCAGACAACATAAGTAAATGAGGTGTGTTAATGGCACCTCCTGATAAAATTACTTCCTTATTTGCTTTTGCTCTCCGAATCTCTGAGCCATAAACATACTCTACACCTAGTGCTTTTGTACCATCAAATATTATTTTGTAAGTAAAAGCTTTATGACGGGCTTTTAAATTTGGTCTGTTTAGAGCAGGTCGCAGATAAGCTTGAGAAGTACTCCATCTTTTTCCTTTGTAAATAGTTCTATCAAAAGGACCAACACCTTCTTGTTGATAGCCATTAACATCATCAGTGTATGGATAACCAGCTTGCTGTCCTGCATCCAGAAATGCTTGAAAAAGAGGGTTTTCCATTGAACCTCTTGTTACATGAAGTGGCCCATTTCCACCCCTATAATGATTTTCTCCTAATAAAATATAAATAAAAAATATGAGAAAACTTTTTTAATTATATAAAATTATTTAATAATGAATTTAAAAGAGTAAAGAATATATATATAAAGTGAATTATATATAGCTTAATTAAATACCAATGAAAATAAAATTACAATAAAATAATAATAATATAATAAAATAAAAAACTATAAAATTTAAAACTACAGTAGAATCCCCTTAACTTGGACCCTGGATAAGTTGGACTTTCAATAAGTCGGTAAAATTTTCAATTCCCCTTGAATTCTCTATACATGCCAAAAGCTTCACTTAACTCTGACAAAATATATATACCTTTTCAGAGTCCAAGTTAACGAAAAGGTATATAACTTTATGTACTTTATACACAGAGTCCGAGTTAACAGACTCTGTATATAAAGTATATAAAGTATATATATATATATATATATATATATATATATATATATATATATATATAGACTTCCCAGAAATAGCATGTCTCAACACAGGCTTGCCTCTCCACACATTGTCAAACCATTTTATATGTTCAGGCTTTAATAAACTGCACACCATAAAGACATTTGAAAAAGGCTTAACGTGATTTTAACCCTGGATTACATAAGAAAAATATATGTTTAAAAAAAGTACTAATAAACTATTTATGGTCGAATATTTTAGGTCAAATATTTGCTATACTTCTAGACAAAAAGAGAGAATTTTATTGATAAAAATAATGTTAAATACATCAGAAGAGCACTTTATTTGGTATGTTGTCTTAGGGCAACACTATGCAATACCAAGTTTAACCTTTTTAAGGTAAAACAAATTCAAAAAAGGAGTGGCAGACTATTCTAAAAATTTTTTGTGTAGGCTTTTAGTGTTATCTACCCTTTATCTTTTAGGATTAACTCTTACTTCCAATCTTTCTTGGAAACCGTATATCAAATCCGTTGCAAAATTAGCATCTGCTAAGGTTGCATCTCTTTATCGTGCTTGACACTTTCTTACTCTGGATTCTATTCTTTATCTCTATAAACCTCAAATCCGTCTTTGTATGGAATACTGTTGACATATCTGGCGCAAATCTTCCAATGATGCTTTTTATCTTTTAGACAAGGTGCAAAACCTATTGTAAACATAGTTGGACCTGCACTTGCAGCCAGTTTTCAACCATTATCACATTGTTGTAATGGTGCTCCTCTTTCTCTTTTCTATAAATACAATAATGGGCACTGTTCTAAAGAGCTAGCACCTCTTGTACCATCTACTAGAATTCATTCTTGTTTTACTCGTCATTCAATTAAGTCTTTTAAGTTGTCTATCAATCGTTATCTTGCTCTATAAACTTCATCTTTTCTCTTCCATTAACTCTAATAGTGGTTGCTTGCAGCCTTATTGGAAGCAAAGATGTTAAAAAAAATAATTTACAAGTTATATATTTTATATGTTTTAGGAGCATTATAAAAAATCCCAGGAGAATTATATGAAGTCATGTTATCATGATATTTAAAGAATAGCCAACCCTCGGAATTAGGGTTGGCATTCAGCAATGCTGATCTAACTGCAAACCTAAAAGTGTTTTAGATCAGCAAAAAATCGCCGACCTCGTTTCTATGTTTTATGGTTAGACCATTCTATCAAATAATTTTTGCCGACCTTAAAAAGATTGAGGTCGGCAAACAGTCAAATTTTTGCTGACGTCATTTTTCCTAATTCCGAGGGTTGATGAACAGCAAATACAAAATATTTAAAAATATATAAAAGTTTTACCCAATGAATGGGTTTGTGATTTTTTAAAGTATGGTAAACAGTCTTTATATGACCATCCTGCTGCGCCTTCTTTTTCCCATCGATCATAATCTTGTGGATGTCCACGAATATAAACCATGGCATTAAGAGCTGATGATCCACCCCAGACTCTACCACGTGGCCAGTACATAACTCTAAATATAAATTTTAGAATAACTAAATTAAAAATATTTTATAGTTTACAAACAGTAATGGCAGAGATGGTGGTAGAATAAATGCCAGGTAATTTTTTTTTTTGTACTAGCAGCTTTTATTTTATTAAAAATATTGAGGAAATATTTCTGTTATTTTTTTAGTATTTTAACTTGTTTTTTTTCTAGGAATGTTTAAAATTTATAAAATTATGGTTTAAAATTTATAAAATTATGGAATCTATAACCACTAGGGATTGCAATCCCGGGATCTCGGATCCCGAGATTGCAATCCCTAGTGGTTTTTCAGGATTATAGCAGGATTGAACTAATTAAATTATTTTCTAAACAAAATGTTCAAAGTTGGTAACTATACTGAATTATAACGAGTTATATAATGCTGCTTTGCAGGTTTATCCTGTTTATGCTTTATCCTTACGATAAATAGAACAAATTTTTGAATAGAACGTGGAGTTTGGGATTTTATCATTGAAAAAAGTTTCACAAACACAAATTAAGGCAGGTTTGTCTGACTATTGTATAAAAAACAATCGTTAAGTTTGTTGGCAAGACTTCTCGCATTAAAAAGATAAATTTTAAAATTGTTGAGCAAATTTGTGGTTAAGTGATTGCTTGAGTTTATTAAGTCGTTTTGTTCATTTCAAAAAATATTTTTAGAGAATGAAAAAAATAAAAATGAACAAGTAATAAAAAAAAAATTATATCTAAAAAAATTTAATGATTACTACATAACAATTCCCTTTGGGATATTTCTAGCGATTTGTATAATTATATTTGTACAATTATTAGCTATTGCAACATTATAATGCCCTTGACAATTAATTCCGCTTGAAGGAATTCTAGTGTGAATACATACAAAATTTGACTGTGGAATGAATCGTTTTGAACGTTTTGAACTGATAACCTTTTTAATGCTTTTGTTGTTTACCGCAATAATATGTTGTTTACTAATGCACCTTAAAAAAATATCCTTCTAAACATGAATGAAAACAGTGAAAAGGGAACATCATTTTTTCTACACAAAAAAGATAAAGACCCAACTTAAGTGTGGTCACATTATTTGAAGTCTGCGGATAATTTGGCAGCAAAATGTAAGAAATATGGTGTAATTTTGAAAACATTGGGTGGTTCTACAAAAGGCCTTCATACGCACTTATCAACTAAGCATAATTTGAAAGTAACTTCAGCCGACAAAAATTTACCTAGTTCGAGTCAACAGTTGAATGATGCCATAACCGACGAGAAGCCTCCTACTAAACGAAGAATAACGAGTTACTTTGCATCCGAAAAAAAAAAAAACTTAGACTGGCTCGAATGACAGCTTTAGTCTCTCAATATTAACAAACAACTTATTATGTTATTTTTTACATAGTAGCTTGTTGTTACAGCAGCTACATCGGTACCCAAATTTAAGAAAATTTATGTTTACAAATTTATTTTGAAATTTTGATTGTTTAGTTACTTTAGTCAAATACACTTTAAATGTTCAAATGTTATTTACATATCCAATTATTTGATGAAGGTTATTCTGTAAAGTCTGTAATCTTAAAACATAATTTGGAAGGTACCGTATATATATTTCTGCATTATTTTAAGATCTTTATATACACCTGCTGCCTGTTACATAATTAAAACAATTTAAGGCGCCGTAGAAAATTAATGTAAGTCATTAAAACATAATGAAATTAAATAAAGAATTGATAACATCAAAAAGTATATTCATATATGCAGTATTAAGTTCTGTTTTTTAGCAAATAACTCACATTATATAAAATCCCGGGATACCGGGATTTTATTTACTTCAATCCCGGGATCATAATTCATGCCCGGGATTGCAATCCCTAATAACCACACACAGAGAAAAAAATTATTCTAACAAAAAACAAAAAATTCTCCTTAAACAAAGAGACTTAATTTTGATCTTCTGTTTTGAAAAAATTTTTGACCAGCAACCACTAAAAATATTTTTGACCTGTAACAAAATATGAAAAAGTATTTTTTTAATTTATTATAAAATATAAAAAAGTACCATTTTATAAGTATCATATGTTTTTTATGATATAAATATAATTTATGTTTGGGACTTTTTTGAATTTTGTCATCAAATATTATTATCAGGTTGTGTAAGTTCTTAGATTGATTTAGAGGTAAATGCTGAATCTTCTTGAATCAATGCATGGGTTTCGCTTTTAACTCTGTTTTTATGACTAAATCATCATATATTCTCCTAATGAGGGAACAGCTCTATTCAGTTTTATTGTTCTGAACTCTGTGGTAGCTCTTAGAAATGATGATTCCGCCAACAGTTGTAAAATATCAGTGCTAACAGTGCCATGATGCACATGGATAGTGTCCTTGTTCGTACTTTTGGTGTGACAAGGCCACATGTGGAGACCTTTGTTATGGCTTAAAGAGTATTAAAAGTAATAAGGCAATTGCTTGGACTATTAAATAATGTACTGAGTACTATCTGTGCTATGAGTCAAGTATTTTAACAAATCTAAAAATGACTAAAGTACCAAAAACCATAAAACACAAGAAACCATATTCACCACAATTTCTCTAAATCTATCATACACAAATATTCATGGTCTTTGAAGTAACTGTTCTTCTGTTGAGTCTTACCTTCAGCAAAGTTCACCTGACCTACTTACTCGTTGTGTGACTTCTTTGAGTTCAGCTGTCTCATCTTAGTGCTAATAGTTATCTTCCTTTAATTTGTAAAAAATCCAATAGTCACATGCCTGGTATTTGTCTACAAACTAACTTTGAACCTATTTTTTTATGCGCTTTTGTTTAACACTTCACTCTATCACCTTTCTCTTTGTTTTATAACGCTCTCCTTTATCTCAAGACTGCACTCTTCTTCTCTGCACTCTTTTATATGTTTTTCTGATAAATTGACCAAGCTCTTTCTCTTTATCCTTCAGCCAATATCATTGTTGTTGGTGATTTAAATGCTTATCGTACTAAATGGATTGATTCTAGTATCAGTGACTCTGCAGCAGTTAAGGTCCACAACTATTGCCTTTCTTAATATTTAACACAAACAGTCAATTTTCCAACTTGCTTTCCAGACAATCCAAATAATTTATCACCTTCACTCAACTTATGTCTTGTTTCCGATCTTAGTCAGTGCTCAATTTTTCCACATTCAACCTTAGGTGTTTCTAATCACGGTTTGATCTCTATAAAACTATTATTTCATTCTTCTTCATCATCAGAATCTCTATCATCATACTGCTAACAACTACCATAAAGGTGACTAGGACTCTTTATTTGATTTTCTTTGTGATGGCCCTTGAGCAGAAATATTTTATCTTTCTGTTGACAAATATGCTTCTTGTGTAACCTCTTGGATTCAGGCTGGTATGGAATCTTTTATTTTCTCTCGATGGTGCCAAGTCAAGCTTAACTAATCTCCATGGTTTTCCTCTCACTGCACTGCTGCAATTTCCAATCATAACCATTACTTCCATTTCTATCGTCAAAACAATTCTTTGTTTACTACTGCTAGAAACCATTGTAAAACATTTTGTCTAACACTGAAGCCTGCTATTATCAGGTCTCAAATTTTTGTATTTTATCTCAAAAATTAGGCTTCAAAGACTTCTAGAGAATCTTCAACAGCGTCTAAAATAAGGGCAAATCTGTCATTCCACCTATTTTACATGGATCAGATTTTGTTATCTCACCAAAAGACAAAGCTGAATTTTTTGCTAAGAACTTTTCATCAATCTAATCTCTTGATTCCACTAACCACATTTTACCTGATATAGCAGGCAAACAGGTTGATCGATTGCTTGATATTCATATCACACCAGCATCTGTATCTAAAGTATTTTCCTTCTACAGCTAGTGGTCCGGGCAACATACCTATTATAGTCTTCCAGAAGTGTTCTCTAGAGCTGTCACCTATACATTCAAAACTACTTAACAAGTGCTTATCAGATTCTTGTTTTCCAGCCTGCTGGAAAGGGGCATATGATATCACTATTTTCAAAAAATTGTGGAGAGCAATCTAACTTGTCTTACTATCGTCTTATTAGTCTATTTCATATTATGGGGAAATTTTTCGAGTCTCTAATTAAAAAAACAAACACTTAATCTCTCATCTTAAATCTGATAACTTACTTTCTGATCATCATTATGGATTTTGATCTTCTCATTCTACTGCTGATTTGTTAAAGGTAATAACTGATAGGTTTTATTGTGCATTAGATAGATGTAGAGAAGTTTAAAATTGTTGAAGGCTATCGCTCTCAACCTTTTTTAAAGCCTTTGATAAAGTTAAGCATGCTGGTCTTCTCTATAAGCTCTCTTCTTACGGTGTATCAGGTAACATCTTTAAAACTATTGAATTCTTCCTTATCAATTGTAGCCTAAACGTTATCTTTGATGGACAGTGCTTTTCTTCATTTGAGCTTGAAAAGGGTCTCACTTCTGCTACAGCACGGAACTCTCAGTGGCTGGTCAACTTTAACTCAGATAAAATTTAGTTTTTTTCAGCTAATTGCTATCGCAATAATCTAGATCTTCCTATATTTATGAATGATATGTATTTGATGAGTCATTTAGCATTTGTCTTCTGGATTAACTCTTACTTCCAAGCTTTCTTGGAAATCATATATCAAATCCATTGCAAAAATAGCATCTCTTTACCATGCTTGCCATTTTCTTACTCTGGATTCTATTCTTTATTTCTATAAACCTCAAATCCTTGTATGAAATATTGTTGCCATATCTGGAATGGATTTTTGAATGATGCTCTTTCTCTTTTAGACTAGGTGCAAAAACAAATTTTAAACATAGTTGGACCTGCTCTTGCAGCCAACCTTTAACCATTGTCACATCTTCTCTTTAACCATTGTCTAGCATCTCTTGTGCCATCTACTAAAACCCATTCTTGTGTTATTCATCATTCAATTAAGTTTTACCCTTTTACTGTGACTAAGTACTCCAAAAATTCATTTGACTAGTTTTTTTCTTCGAAAATCGGTTCTTTGGAATTCGCTCTTTTTATCTTGTTTTCCTGATTTATGTAATTTGCAAACTTTCAAGTCGTCTGTTAAATCTTATATTTCAGTCTTCTTTGTTTGACAACTGCTTTCGCACTTTTGCAATTTTGTGCAAAAATTTTGTGCCTACACGCCTGCCAATACTACAGCTGGCGCTTTTTTAAGTGCTGGACAAATAACTTCAAGCGTGTTTTATAAGTTGCAACAAATCTTTTTTCTTAATCAAATTCTAATTAAAGAGGTACAAAAACAAACATTTTTTAAAATTGCGCACTCCAAAAAATTACTGTCCAGCCAGCGCTTTTTTGTGCGCTGATATAAGTTTAAAAAGCAATATCAGAAGACTGATATTGCTTTATAAACTTGTTTTAGTAACTTCCAACTCAAATAGGGGTTTCTTGCAGTCTTGTTGAAAGTAAAGATGTTTTTTTTTAAAAAAAATGTTATTAGTTTAAAATATAAAATACTTCAAAAAACTTTTTATTCAAATTTAGAACTTTTTTTATGATATATATATATCATAAAAAAATATGATATATATATGATATATGATATATATATATATCATATATATATATATATATATATATATATATATATATATATATATATATATATATATATATATACATATATATATATATATATATATATATATATATATATATATATATATATATATATATATATATATATATATATATATATATATACAGGCCTTGCGATAAAGCGTCGGGCGATGTGAATTTTACGTCGTCCAAGGGCGATTTTGCGTGTAGTTAGGGCTATTTGCGTCGAGCAAAAAATTTTTTGTTTGAGTATATTTAAAGATATTTTTGAGCGGAATTTTAATGAAGTAATTTACGATTATTTTAACATTTAATAAAGTATTTTAAAAACCGCACGCAGTTGAAATAAAAGTTTGAATTTAAAAAAACTAAATATGCTCATTATTTACAAGTAGAAAAAATTCAAAAATTAAAAAAAAAGTTTAAATCTTTTAAGCTAACATTTTAATAAAATTATTCAGCAATAGCAACGTTGTCGATAAAATTGAACAAAAATACTTTCTTTTAGTTTTAGATTTTAAACTTAAATAATTATTTTACAGGGGTTTGATAGGTTTTAAAATTATTCCATAGATTTAAAAATATTTATTAACTGTTAGACGTATTTAAAGTATTTAAGAGTGATTTCGAGGAAACATTTTAAAAATTGGTGAGGGCAAATAAAAAAAAAAAAAGATTAATATTAAAACGTATTCTACTTGATTCAATAAAAAAGTACAGTTATTAAAATTTTTGTAAAACTCAAAAAAATAAAAAAATAAAACTCAAAAAAATTACTTAAATAATAACGATCGCTTTTATGTTAAAAGTTACCAAAACTCATCGAAGCGTGCTCAAGAACAGCTGCTGAAAAATAGAACGTCAATAGTTTTTCGAATAATTTTTAAGAATAATTTTTTCGCTGAAATATTTCTTTTATACCTATAAGATTTTTATTCTAACATTTTATTTTATTTTACTAGAAATAAAATTCCTTGTTAGCATTAAAAATCTATTCAAAACGTTCGTTTAAGTTTTTTATTAATACGAGTGATTGTGCTTATCAACCGCTTTATGAAAATAAATAAAAATAAATAAATAAATATTATATAAAATCGCTTGTAAAAATATTAGCTATTGCACAGTTTTTAATCGTACAATATTAAAACTTCCAGTTTATTACTCGCTGACTTTTTAAAAAGAAAAAATAATTATTTGAAAAACTTTAAATTACATATTTAAGAAAAAAAAAATCAAATATTAGCATATTTTATAATCTTTTTTAAATTTAAGTTAAAATAATGTTTTTTATTCGTTTAGTATAGACAAAACGTGACAAACGTCGAGAAAATAAACAAATGTTTTTACATTTTAAAAAACGAAACATTCCAAAACATTTTTAAATAATAACATTTCTACATAAACGATTTAAAGTAGTTTTGCGGTAATTAAATAAATTGGTGCTGTTAATGTCGATAAATATGAAAAGCAAATAAAAAGAATTTAATGACGTCAAAAATCACGTCGTGCTTATGCGTCGCGCAGTTCTTATTCATCGCAAGGCCTGTATATATATATATATATATATATATATATATATATATATATATATATATATAAGTATTCTTTATACCTGTCATTCATGTGAGATTGTGGTACAGTATGATAATACCAATTGTACTTGTCATTGCACAAATTGTAAACCATAGCAGCTGGCATATGTATTTTCCAATTCCACCATGCATCTTGTGGACCTGCTTCTAATGACAATACTCTGTTGTTGGGATCTTCAGATAAACGGTTGGCCAAAACACAACCTGCAGAGCCAGCACCAACAATAACATAGTCATGTGAGGTACTCCAAACAACTAAAAATATTGAACATTGTCTTGATTAGTAGTTAACTTAAACAAATTTTTGAAAGAATATTATAGAAATATATTATGTTCTTTGCTTTTTTTATTTTTACACAATTTTCAAAATTCAACTTAATTAAAATTGATTTTATTTTTAAATGGTTATTTACAGTATTGGACAAAACATTTGCAACCAACATGGAACAATGCTAAAAAGTGTTCCTAATTTTACATGTCTTAAAAACAAAACAAACTATACTACCACAGCAAACAGTTCAGGAGTCTGAAGTCATAGCATGCCAAAACATGAGCAATTAGCTGACAGATGACAGCACACAGGCAGAATTTCGTTGACAAGTGCTATTTTGCAGCAGACAAAACAAGTGCAACTTTTTTGGTTTGTTTCATTTTCTAAAGTCCATGTCAACGTCACAGAAGTTTTTTAATAATTAAGGAAGTACCCAGAAATTTCCAGAAGCATGAAGAAGCTTCCAGAAGTTTCCGGAAGAGGCATCTGCAAGCATCCAGAAGCATCCAGGAGTTCCAGAAACATTCAGAACCATCAAGAAGCATCCAAAAGTTTCTTCCAGAAGCATCGAAAAGAAGCATCTAGAATCTTCCAGAACAGGTTCACACAGGTTCATTTTACTATATAAGAGACATGTAAACCGACATGTAATTCAGTCAGTATATGGAAGTCAATCAGTCAGTATTATCAAGACAGTTTATCGAAGTGAGTTTTATCAAAGAACATCAATACAAGAAGTGAAATACAACAAGTATTTCATTACATCAATACAGTCCACATCCAACCAAGACATTGTGTTCCACAGAGCATTATTGTATCACCACAAGGTAAATGTAACACGGTAAGCCTTGAGAAGCGTGATTATTTATTTTTATTATTTTTATGACTTCAAGTGCAAAAATGGCTTCCGACAGTCTTGGATTGGAACTAAGAAAGAAAATTATAGACGATTATGTAAGTGGAATGTCACAAAAAAGTATTTGTGATAAATATCGCGTTAAAAATTGGACCGAATCAAGACTATGTTCCAAATATTGCTCTACATGAAAATTGGCAGCAGATAACAAAGGTGGAAGACCACGTTCCACCACTTTTAGAGAGGATTCTATGATCGTCAGATCCGTAAGAAGGATCCCTGGATATCATCAGTCGAGATACAAAAGCAATTAGAGCTGCCTGTATTGGACCGAACAATCAGACAACGTGCTGTTGAAGCCTGATTGTTTTCTCAATGCCCTGCAAAGAAACCGCTGATTTCACTAAAGAACCAGAAGAAAAGACTCCTGTTTGCTACATCTGCTATTGACTGGAATGTGCAGAAATGGCGAACTGTCCTGTTCAGTAATGAATCGAAGTTCAACATTATTGGGAGCGATGGCATTTGCTGTGTACGTCGACCGGCCAGAAAACGCCTCGATTTACATTACTAACAAAAGATCGTGAAGCATGGTGGAAGCAATGTAATGGTCTGGGGGTGTTTTTCTGCTAACGGTCTAGGTCCAATACATCGAATCGATGGAATAATGGACCGTTTCATGTATAAAAATATCCTGAAAGATGTTATGTTACCTCATGCTGAATGGAATATGCCAATAAAATGGGTTTTTCAGCAAGACAACGATCCAAAACACACTGCAAAAGTAGTCAAGCAGTGGTTTCAAGACAACCACCTATCAGTGATGGATTGGCCGCCTCAATCTCCGGATCTCAACCCTATCAAGAACCTGTGGGAGATTGTCAACCTCAGAATTAATTGTGAAGGTGTTCATAATAAGGATCAGCTGTTTGAACAAATCCAAAAGGCCTGGGCAGCGATTCCATAAAGTTTCATTGATCACCTGATCGAATCTATGACTGGAAGATGCAAGGCTGTGATCGACAACAAAGGATTTGCCACGAAATATTGATAGTGAAATACAGCTTGGTCAACATTTTGTGGAGTTGCACTTGTTTTGTCCAGAAGGAAATCAACTTTTTTTAATACTTTTGATTAATTTATTAATTTTCGTGTATAAATAATGAACTTTGTGATGAATAAAACTTGAAGAATGTTGTCTCTAAACAGTTACATAGTTATTTCTATAAATTGAAAAAGTGCAGCACTTTTGTATAAAGAAACTAAATTAGCATTATTTGGTTGCACTTGTTTTGTCCGATACTGCATTTCTTAATTCATAATTTGTTTATATACATTTTATTTTAAATTAATACAATTAATTTTTTTTTTAAATTTATTATGCTATGTAAATTTACGCAGTCAGACTATTTACAGTTTTGGAGATTTTGAAACTAAAAAAAAAAAAAAAATTTATTCAAAACTGTCAAAAAAAAGAAATTCAAAAAAGAAATTTATATTTGTCAAAACTATACAAAATACCAAATATTTAATAGATTTAATGGTGCAATCTAAAAAAATTAATTTCGAATTAAATTTTTTTTTTTTATTCTAAACACGCATAATTTTTACATGAACAATCAATATTTACTTCAATGCTTAAAAAAAAGATTTAATTTGAAAACAATCAGTCTATAAAATAATGGAAAATTTTTCACCATATACTATTAGGTATTTAGCTCATTTCAAGGCACTTTAACACTTTGCAGTCCAATATCCTGTGTGATAGGACATCATGAAATTATTGTTGCGGTCTAATGTTCCTTGCCACGGGACATCTACTATGTTTTTGTTTATACAGAAAAAATTATCTATTTAAGCTAACTTGGACAATTTACTAGGTTGAACTGGTAAAATTATAGTGTGTTTTCAACTTGATTTTGTGTAATATTTTTAAAGTGATTTTCAGTAACATTTGTTAATCGTCTAACCTTACTTATACTCTTAGAAAGTTTTAATAAAAATTTATTACAAATGGCAAGAAAACGTTATACAACTGAAGAAGTATTGAAGGCATTGGATGAAACAAATACTGAAAGCGAAAGAGAATACACTTTACGTGAATATGAGACTGAAGTCTCAGAGATATCAGAGTCAGAGGAAGATATTGAACTAAATGAAATTGATGATAATGGACCTGCTTTGAAAATAGGATGGGCAAACGTAGTGCAAGCTAATCTAGCATTTGAAGCACTGCCATTCACAGTAGCATATGTATCAGCATTCAATAAACTTAACATTGAACTAGATTTTTTCAAGTTATTTTTTACTGATGAGTTACTTGCAGATATTGTAACCAAGACTTTTATAAGATATTGTAACCAAGACATATAATTTGAATATGGCTCTGAATGAAAACCAAGTATAAAACATTATTTTTCTTATGATTGGCTGAACTACATGCCATTTTTTTCAGCAGTTTTGTCCAGAACTCAGTTTCTTCAGATACATTGGATGCTGTACGCATCCATCAAACCCATCTAATGAATTGAGTAGACTGAATTACAAGAAAAGTGCATTGTGTTGTATCAGAAATAAAAAATTTTCTGTTTTAGAAATTTTATCCCATCTTGTAACACTGCAATTGATGAAAGTACTATTGGATTCAAAGAGTTGCATTTCGCATGTACAATCCACAAAAGCCCACAAAGTGGGGCATTTGTGTTTTTGTCTTTGCCTATAGTGAAACAGATTATATTAGTTTCAAAATGAACATACAAACTACAGGGACAATAATGAAAAATAGCAAACAGTTATAAGATATAAAAATACTCAAATTAAAGAAGCACAAAGTTCCTGCGTATGTAGACTCTTCCAATGTTATGGTTTTGGCATGGCAGGACAGGCGACAGGTTCTGATGCTGAGTACTTTCAATGATTAAACAACTGAAGTTGCAAAACAAAGAACAAAACAAGGTATTATAGACATTGATAAAACAACTGTTATTGTAAATTACTCAAAACATATGGGAGCTGTTGATCAAGTTGATCACTTTTGTTCTAGCTATTCATTTCTACGCAAGTCTTTAAAATGGTGGAGAAAATATTTTTCTGGTTGTTGGAAGTTGCAGTTGTAAACAGTTATATATTGTTTAATAAATTTTGTGAATGCAATGAAAAAAAACAAACTTCGACACCTAACCTACAGACAAAACCTCATTGAGCAATTAGTTGGAGCATGTCATAACATTCAAGATTGAAGAGGAGAGCGATCATCATAAGATGATAATGAACACCTCAACCAAAAATCACATTTTATTGCACAAGTTTCAAGCAATAATGCCAAAGACTATCTAGTCTGCAGTGACAGAAAAATACAGGGTGGTAGAAGAAAAACTGTATACTATTGCAAAACCTGCACTAGAAAACCAGGACTACACCCTATTAATTGTTTTGAACTTTATCATACAAAGACTGACTGACATATTTTAGTTATTTCTTTCTTGTTTAGTGCTTGCACTTAGCCTAGGTGCAAGCACTAAACAAGAAAGAAATAACTCAAATATGTAAACACTTGTTTTTATTTACAAGTAAATTACAATATTGTCTTTGGATACCTAGGTCTTAGGTCATAGTGTTTTTGGCAGAATAAAAATTAAACAATTCAGTAAAAATAAAGAGAAGCCATGGATCAAACATATTTTTCTGTTATATTGAAGGTCAATAAGTAAAAAAAATTTGGGCCTGATAGGTAAAAAAAAGAGTTAATAGAATTTGAAAAACTGTAGAACTAATTTTTTATAGTACAATTATATTGTACAATTGTAGAATTAATGAAATTTAATAGAATTTGAACATATTTTAACAACTGTTATAATAACACTTTTTTGAATACTGTTCCCATATTTTAATAACGCTAGCTAATCAATTGCCATTATAATAAAAATTTTTCATAATACAATGCTCGTAAACTGTATTTGAAACAAAAAATATATAAAAAAATTTTTCATCAATTTTTATACTTACAACTTCGGGTGTATTTTTTTAAATTAAGAGCACTTCTTAAAAAAAATCCGCTTGCATTAATCATATTTTAACATTAATTATAGATCATTAACAATAAGATAATTCTAATATAATTATTAGAAAGATGTATAAAAGAAAAAAAATAAGGGGATTTTTAATGTAAGATATTCCGAAATCCCTTCCCTACAACTGGGACTAAAACTATAAATAATGCTAAATATTTTGTAAAATAAGATTTTTTTCCTTACACAAGCCGCATGTATTTAAACACGTTGTTTTGTTACGAATTATATTTATACTAAGCTTCCGTCTCAAAACAGAATTATATTTATACTAAGCTTCCGTCTCAAAACAAAAAAAATCCCTGATTACTCGATCTAGCATAAGACGGTTTTAACGAAATTTTTACGATAAAGATTATTTTTTTAATATCTCTACAATATCAATTATTTTTATTATTTTCATTTTATGAAAAAATGTTGTCCGAAATTTTTGAATTTATTTTCTTAATAACTACACAAAGTTGTAAGTGTTTTCGAAAAAATTCATATAGTAAAGTATGTATCAGACGCGGATACAGGGGGAAGGGGGAGTAATGCATTACCCCCCAGCAGACTTTAAATCTATTTTTTACTCGAACGAGTGAGTTGTGGTGGTTTCAATCAAAACGTTTTAAAACTTAATCAAATTGGTTGCCGTTTTGCACGTGAGCTAAGTTCCGGTATTTGTGTGTTGAATCGCCTTGTTTTAAAATCGCCTCTATTTAGTATCTTAATATACTATGGAAAACGCAAAAACGGCGTAAAAGTTTTTTTTCAATTGTATTTTATTTGTTTATGTAAAGTAACATAAGCTAATGTTGTCCAATGTCCACACAAAATGAGTTTTGTGTAGACATTGGAAAATTAACTTTACACTTCGCACAACTCGTGTACTCAATTCGACTAATCCTGACTTACAGTAGCGGTGATCCTATAGCATAATACCCTTCTAACATTTTGTATACAAAATGTTAGAAGGGTATTCACCGTGTTCTTTTTTGTTTATTTTCCAGTCCTACAACTACAACAGTTGACGACGTCAGTCAAGTGAGTTTGCCCAGTGGTTCACTACCTACAAACTCTGCAGTCGTCACTCCATACCAAGTGAGTTTGCCCAGTGGTGCACTACCTACTAATTCTGCAGTCGCATACAGACCTACTGCTACAGCCACTCAAGTCCCTAAAGCTGAACAGTCAGAATAGGACATTAGGATGATTTTTAGGGCAGTGAAAATAGATGCTGGATTCGGTCAATGAGCAAACTACACAGATTGACCGACTCAGAGAGGATTTCACTACTGACATCTCATGCGATGCCAAGCAGTTCATTTAAATGGCCTTTTCACCAAAGAAGTAAGCAAAAGCTATTTTTATCAATGGGTCATATTTCTGTTGGAAATGGTTGCTTCAAGTACTCGTTCAAGCTGCAAGGTCTGTGTTGTGTACCCTGCTATTTATTTGCAGGGGATACTGTTTCAAATGATCGTGGAAAAGCATAAAAAATCTGGTGAACAAAGCATTTACTAACTACAATAAAATTCATTCAAAGTTACACAATCATGTCACCTGCGAATATCACAAAATGGCACAACAACAAGCTGAACAATTCCTATGCATTTCTAAATCTTCCAAGATCATCATCAAATTAATTGACTTGATTCAAATTAATGAACTTGTAAACTGGTGTTTATTAATTTGTAATCTATTGATATTAATAAATCTATTTTATAATAATTTATGTGCCAGTCTCACATAAATTTTTGGGAGTGGGATACCCCATCCTAAACCCTCCCCTCAGTAAACTTCCAAGCATTACCCCCCACCCCTGAATCCTGGATCCGCCGCTGGTATGTATGTTCTAAATTTCACAACTTTAATCTGAAGTTTGAGAGAAATTTTCTTTAGACTTATATAATTAGGGCCGTCCCAAAGAGATCTTAAAGGAGAAGTGGGGTGGGGATTCTGTGATGTGTATGTTTTTTGTCAACTAAGATCTAAAGAAAAAAAAGGACCTTGTTGGCTGATATTTGTTGACTGTTACCTATGAACCCAATTTTGCTGAGTCCAGTTTCCGATTTGTCGACTAATAAATTGCGTAGGAGGGCTAGACATCTTCCCCTCCCTATGATTTATTGTTATTAATTTTTTTTTTCAGAACCTTTACTATTTTCTTTTTAAAATTGTAAAGGTTCTGATCGATATAAGGCTTTTGAAAGAAGATCGTTATGATTTTCTTTCTAAAGCCTTACTTGTTTGTTCTTGTAAAGTGTAGTATGTATTTTACGACAAATGTAAACAGAAAAAAAAATAAAAGAAACCTAACTTCGCATATAAGTTTTTTTTCTAGGGGGGAAGAGGGATCTGGTTCAAACTATAAAATATGGCTAACAATTAGGGATACTCTATTAAAACTTATTAGGGATACTGTATCAAAACTTCATCTTTTACTCTATCAAATCTTAATCTTTTTTCAACTTCATTATTAGGGATATTCTATCAAAACTTTAAAACTATTAACTTATTATGGATAGTCTATCAAAACTTAATTAGGGATACTCTATCAAAACTTAATCTTTAATAATCTAAAATTAAAAATACTTTTATCTAAAATAAAATAAACAGTTAATCAAAATTATTTAGGGGGAGAAGAGCCATTTGCGCTTCAGCTCCTCTAAGTTTCTTTAAAAGGTCAAAAAAAGATTTTTTAGAAAAAATTGATAAAGTCTTTTGTTTTAATGAATATTTAAAGTTGTTTGTATTTTTAAAATAAAAAGGTTTTGCTTTATTATCGTTTTTTTATTCTAATTATCATAAAGCTTTGAAACAAAAATACCTCAAAAGATTCACCCCTAGCCAAAACGCAAATGTAATCAGTTGATAAAATATTTTGATTTAATATCTTATTCTAAATTCAAGTTCATTGTCATGTTCCAATTTTTTTTTTATTATCTCTGAGTGTTTAAAAGTTTTCATGGTAAATTTTCACCTCATTAAAATGAAGGTTGTAGGTTTTACATCGTTCGAACGCTTAAAAATAGTTAAGTGAAATTTAAAACCTGAGGATAACTTGAAAATTAGTAGAAGATAATAAACTAAAATTTTTATCAATTCATTGCCTTTGCATTATGGCTAGCGTTGTAAGTTATTATTATTATTATTAATATTATTAATAACTATTTTAAGTGCCCCAAGAAGTCCTTATGGTCTTATCACAGAGCACCACAGAAAAATATTTTGAAGGAAGTTCACGCCTCTTTTCTAACCACTGCACTAACCACGGCTGCTCAAATCAGTTGGAGTATTTTTTTCCCATGGTCTAGTTGATCCATGATAATACTAACTTGATAATAATTTTTCCTTTTCCATTAAATCTGTTGCCTTAATGGATGTCAATTTGTCATGTTGGCTTTTGTGCGCTTTTTTTCGTTTCTGATCAGCAGAGTACAAGTCGGTGCCCAATAATACCATAGTTTCTGTATATCTGACCTGTATATCTGACCTGTATATCTGACCTGTGTTTCTTTTTCAAATTCGTTAAACTCTTAATCTTACTTCTTGAACAAAAATAGAAAGAGAACTTTACAGTTCATTCATCAGTCATGAGAAAATTTCAACGGCTTAAAGCATTTTATTTACTTTGTTGAATCTTTCCATAATTGTGTTCCCGATGACTATTATGACGGTCATCTCCAGTTGATCCATTTTCCTGAGAAGTCTTCTAGCTTCTTTTATCGTGTTTGGTCATTTCTTTTTGTTATTGTTTCTTTAAGTCTACCTTGAAGTTTAAACAAATGTTTCATATATACAAGTATATAAGTACTATTGACAACTAAGAACTTAAAATACTCTGATAATTATACTTTGTAACTACAATAACTCATTTGAAGAGCAGAACACACATCTGCAGACCATCTAGTCTGTAAGAAACCTTTTGGTACCTTTAACCGTTTTCCAGTTTTGATTTCAAGGTTTCCTAGCAATGTATTGAAGCAGAAAAAAAGCTGTTGAAGATACCTATAGAAAGATGCAGCTGTTACACAAGACTCAACTGCAGCAAGATCAACTTGATTAAAATAATGACCGGCGCATGGTAAATAATAAGCTAGTGGGTTTAACTTCTTGATACGAGCTTGCAACCCAGTGTAGATCCTAGACATAATAAAAGGATTACCATATGACTGCCCACGCCAATCTGTGATGTTGATGCCGTGCATCTCTAATGTCTCTTTGAAAAGATAAAGTATAACTGTATAAAGTATCTCATTGGCTTCTGAATGGCTCATATATTGTTGAAGTAACCACGGCTAATAAAGTTTTTTTGGTCAAAAGATATATAAAATCTCTTTCTATAATAATTATTACCAAAAACTGATAATCAAACTCAATTTACCTTTTTCTTTCTTTTTTTTTTTAGGTTTTCGTTTTGGGTGATTTTGTTTCCAAGTTTCTATTATAATCATTTTTTTTTTTTGTAAAACATCCGGATTTGACATTTTTATGAGCTTAAGACTTTTATGTTCTTTTCGTAAAACTTTGATAATTTTGACTTAGATAATTTTGGGTGTTAGCTACAAAAGTATTTGCCTGAAAATATAACTGTAAAATAACCACTCAATTCAATTTTATTTCTGATATATAATTATATTATGCTTATATTTTCGAAATTATAATAATTTTGAAGTGATTCTAACTCGTGGAAATTAGTTTCGATTAAACGTTTGGATTGACTCAAACAACAAAATAACAATTTTTAAATGTCGCCAAAAAATGCCAAAAACGTTATAAATTTAATTTTTTGGCATAATTTGCTTTCTAAAAATCCATATATAGATGTTCAAATAAAATATTCCAGTTATAATACCGCTAAAATAGTATTATAACTGGTATATACGATTCGTTTTTGGTTACTCCTTTTTATATTTCCACAAAAATATAGATAAACAACTAAAGAACATTACTAATGATGTTATTATTATTTTATTAAATACATTTTATGTATTAACTTTATTTTTTAGCTATTAATTATGATTATTTGCCTTCTATAATGGTGCTGTAGATATATTAAATTGCTATGTTCAATTAACTTTATATATTACCATTAAAATGTTGTTGTTTTTGTTTATTCTGTGGATATATTTGATTACTTTTTTTGATTTTTTTTGAAGTGATATTTTTACCATTGAAATGTTATAAATTTGTTTTTATATTGTATTTTAATTTAGTAAAACTCCAAAAAA